AGAGAGAGAGAGAGAGAGAAGGAACTCTGAGATCGGTTACCTGCTCTTGGAGTTGGCGACGTTCGTCCTTGCACAGCTGTAACCGATCAATGAACCCCCTGCTCACATCATTCACCTGCTCATCCTGTTGCCCTCGACAGAAGTCAGAATCGCCAAGAACAAGATGAGAGAAATTAAGAAACGCAGGAAACATAATCACAAACCCTCGGATCTTGGAAGCCTGTTGTTGGAGGCGGCGGTGCGTTGCTTGTGAGATCTTGGAGCCAGCAGCGTTCCCCTTGGCAGAGGAGGAGTCGGTCTTGCAAGCTCCAGGCAGAAGGGACCCCATCTTGGTTGGCGCCGTACTTGAACCCGACGTCGGGGACGCTCTGCGAGTACTTGGAGATGTCGCTGCCTTCATCCTATTATGACCGCAACAACGAAAGAATGAAATCAAGAAAGAAAGCACCAAAAGAACAAGAGATGAAAGATAGGATTAATGTGGAGAGAGAGAGAGAGAGAGAGAGGGCTTGGTGTATGCACCTTGGATACAGTGGCATCCGTTGCTGCCTTTGATTTCTGCACCTTGGAAGCAGAGGGATCCATTGCTGTGTTGATCGGCAGCTTGGAAACCAGAGGGCGGAGCCTGGGAGAGGGGGCTGAGTTGGGGAGGTTAGGGAGGCGGTCGCTGGTCTTATATAGGCTGCTGACCAGCTGTGAATACGATATACCGGAAGTTACGTGTCCATCAAGATTCGTGCTATTGACAGATCTAGGACCCGCCGAGCCCTTCATCAAAGATGCCCTTCTCACAACTGTCCAAACCGACGTTTCTTGACCCCAACCGCTTCTCTGCCCGCAGCCTGTTGAAGATCTCCTCTTCCTCCAATCTCCCAATTCAACCTCTCTTTCTCTCTCTCTCATCTTTCAGCTCTGTTGCTGCGAGACCAGCGGTAAGCTCCATGTTCTTTACTTCTTCTCCCGTTTCTCTGTTTGTATCGTGGCATCACCTGCTACTTCCTTCTTTTGTTTGGCTACTAGCAAAGGAAGACACCCCGGCGCATCCATGGGGAACAGCAACAGCAGCGTGGAAGAGGAGAAGATGTTGAACCACCACCTCGACTTCTGCACTGATCTGCTCAGTGAGCTGAAACGCAGGCTCTCTGAGGCTGAAAGCGAAGGGGACGCAAAATTCAAGAAGAGCTTAAAAAGGGACAAAGTCCGCACTCTTTTCTCGTCCTATGACTCTGGTTCTCGGCTGTGTCTTGAGATCTTTCTCGGCTTCATGATTCTCCTTGCATCTCGATCGTAATAGGAGAAATATATGATGACTGCTGGGAAGTTGTGTGACTGCACCGAGGAGTACGAAAAGATGGAAGCGGCGTATGATGGTTTGCGGAGGCACAAAGCTGCAATGGAAGCAGAGGTTGAAGTCTTGACAATTGCATCAAACATGACTTCAGTGTCTTTAGTTTCAGTTCAGATCTTGTATTGATATGGAATTTGCTGCACGCTTAGGCTGCGAGATTGGAGGAAGAGATACGGTCTCTGGAAAAAGGAAAGAGAGACGATGGTGACAAGGTATGAGGCAATTCTTGCATGGATTTAGCAAAACTTCAAATTGTTGGTCTGAATTCATCAATTATGTCCAAATTTCCCTTTTCTTTCTCTTATAATCTGTAAATTTCTTTAGGCTGCTGATGAGGACAAGCCCGACGAGGATCCTTCATCAGGTGATATGAAGTAGTAGCAGAGAGTCTTCTCTTTTTTCTTGTTAGTGATATTAGTAGTAGCAGGTGATATTAGTGAATCAGTGAGCATTTTGATGTTAGACTGAATGACATGCGAATGTTATGGTTGCTTTTACCACAGGCTGCATCATTAGCTGAAAAGGTTACGACCATTGCAATGGAGCTGAAGAGGTCTGAGAGTTCACCTCACGAAAGGCCAAGACATTCTTTGAAGGAGGTTCTTGAAACGGTGATGGATACACCGATTGTAATGAACAAAAGACGGTGATGTCTTTCTGTACATATGACAAACTAAATGCAATAAATTGGGAGCCAAAACTTTTATATGGAATTTTCCCTGGAAATTTTGGAATACCAATGTGTTACACATGATTAAATTTCTTGCTTATTTCGAGTATCATAATATATTCATTCACGTTGAACTTGTGCATAATTCCAGTTGAACGGGGATTTTATATATAATTGACGACGACTTGATCCACACACAGTTGGCGAGTCCCGCATGAGCCGGTACTAAGCCCAGACCAATGGAGGGCATCAAGATTTCATCCAATTGTTGCAACGTTCGCTCCCCATTAGACTGCGTAGCATCAGACTGTGAGGGACCCACAGATAGTGGGCTGAGCATATGACCGTGGATTGGCAGGAAAGTTAGAATTGGAGCATTTTATTTAAAAGCATTTCCGAATAGGATCCTCCAACCTACATAGAATAATCGGACGGATCCGCTGACCGACGGCATTAATTTGGAAGCAGGGAGGAGGGGTTCGATGGTCGCCTCGGGGTCTCTGCGCGGCGGCGGCCATGACGTCTTCGCCTCCACCGGCTCCCGGCGGCTACGCCTTCCTGGACGCCGCCACGCTTCGCCGCGTCCTGCCCCTCTCCGCCCTCATCCCCCATTTCCGCTCCTCCCTCCCCGCCCTCTCTGCCGCCGTCCACTCCCCTCCCCGCAGCGCCTTCCCCCTCCCCTCCTCCCCGTCCGACTCCCTCCTCCTCATGCCCTCTTGGTCCTCAGATCCCTCCCTCCCCTACATCGGCGTCAAGATCGTCACCTCCTTCCCCGGCAACTCCGCCCTCCACCGCCTTCCCGGCGTCCATGCCTCCTACTCCCTCTTCCACGCCGCCACCGGCGTCCCCCTTGTCGCCCTAGACGGCTTACGGCTCACCCTCCTCCGCACCGCCTCCGTCTCCGCCCTTGCTGCCTCCATCCTCGCTCGCCGCGACGCCCGCGTCCTCGTCATGGCCGGCGCCGGCTCCCTCGCCCCTTTCCTCATCGCTGCCCACCGCCTCGTCCGCCCCGGCATCGACCGGGTCATCGTCTGGAATCGGACCCCCGACAAAGCTCGGATCTTGGCGCGGAGTCTGCAAGAAGAGGAGGGCGGCGCGGATGAAGCCGTGACCTTTGAGTACGCGGAGAACTTGGAAGAGGTGGTCGGGCTGGCGGACGTGGTGACCTGCGCCACGAGCTCGGAGAGCCCCATCATCCGAGGGGCGAAGCTGAAGCCCGGGGCGCATCTGGATCTAGTGGGTTCGTTTAGCCCTCGGATGCGGGAGTGCGACGATGAGGCGCTGGCTCGGGGAAGGGTTTTTGTGGATTTCGAGGTGGCCATGGAGGAGGCGGGGGAGTTGGTCGGCGCGTTTGACAGAGGTGTCATCTCGCCGGCGGATGTGGCTGGTACGCTGGTGGAGTTGGTTGGTGGGGCAAAGTCTGGGCGGAGGAGCGACGATCAGTTGACCGTGTTCAAATCTGTGGGAACCGCAGTCGTCGACCTCCTTGCTGCTCAACTGGCGTACGAGAACTTTTTGCAAGGTACGACAATTTCGATATACATACTTGTGTTCTTCATCGTAATATTCATTTAGCGCTTGCCGATCGATTGCTATGTGAAGACGTCTTGCATCATAGAACTTTTGCATGTTTCAATCTGCTTGTGTCATTGCCTTCTTCTTTGCATTATGTGTTCTTGATATGCGCAAAATTTTGCCTCTTTTTTATTTATTATTATCGAACAGGACTCAATATTTTTTTCTTCTTTCTTCCCCCGCTTTTATTATGCATCCATCTTTGACATTTTTGTATACTAAATCTAGGTTTTCATCTGCTTATTCGTGACTATAGAATAATATAACCTTAATGGTTTTAATTAACACCAAATTTACGTCATCTGTCATTTTGTTTGTTTGGTACATTAACGTGGTTGAGCCTTTAACTGACTCGAAGATATATAGGGCGATTTCTTAGTAAATGTTATCTTTTCTTTCCCAAAGAACGTCTCAGTTTTTTCTGCAGAGTAAATAACAAAAGTAATTTCAACTACTTTTTATCTTTTTCCTTCTTTCCCTTACTCTTCAAACTCATTCAATTAAATGAACCCATTAAATTGAATCGATTCAAAATAAACAATATCAAATATAATATTTATTATATATATTTTATATTAATAATTAATAAATAATTATATAAAATTATCTTAAATCATAAATAAATTATTATAAAAATAAATATAATATAATAAATTAAAAATAATATCAATATAAAGTAAAGCATAATATAATAATATTATTTATATATCTTAAATAAATAATAAATAAAATATATTTAATTTTAAACTTTTAGAAAATCTTAAGAATGATTTTCAAAGGCCTAAATGTACATAAAGTGTAACTCAAGTTTTTTAATCCAAAAAATATTAAAATTTTCATGAAACCTTCAAAATTACTAGGGAGGCCCAAAATGATCATTTCTTCTATTTTAGACCATTAAAGGATCTAGTTTTAGTTAGTTCAACCTTAAAAGATAAAAAAAAAAAAATTACTTTTATTTTTGGTCAATTTAAGCTGAAATTATATTTTTTTTGGTTAAATTCTCATGAAACCTTGAAAATATCTTATGAAGCCCTAAATTATTTTTTATTTTTGGGCCTTGAAAAGTTTTAGTTTTCAGTTAATTTAGCCCTTAAAGGACTAAAATTTTTATTTTTATTTTTGGCCAATTTAAGGTGAATCTAGAATCAATTTGGGTAAAAAATAAATTGAATATTATTAGTATCGATTTTAGTAAGTTTTGAGATAAATTAAATTTTTTGGACCTTGAGTTATATTATTTTTGAACAGGTTTACACTATATTTGGACTTTATTTAACAATGATTGTTGTTTCGAGTACCAGAGCTATTTTAGTGATCTAGTCAAACCTTGCCCTTATTGATCAATACTTTTATTTCATTTGTCAATACATCGGTATATACTGATGTTTCAAAGAGAAAGGAAAGAAGAGGAAGGGGTATGGAGGAAGATGAGGAAGAGGAAGGAGGAAGTAAGAAGATGGTAGAGGAAGAGGAAAAAGGAGAAAGAGAAAGAAAGAGTAAGAGAGAAGAGGTGTCCCCAGTTGGTGACTATGTGCACAATGATGGTGTGTAGTGAGGTTGTGCAATGTGTCATCCTTTTAAAGGGTGATTTGGACAAAGGGCATGGTCGTGGTGTGCAGTGAGGTCGGACCATGTTAGAATTCTAAACCATATAGATCATTGTTTCCTTTTGTATGGGCAAACTAAGTTGCCCGAAAGGGGGGTGGTTCGGGCAAAACATCACTCATTTCTATTCAAAAACAATTAACTGAGAATTTTTATCCATAAATATCAAATTTTTTATTCAAACCTTAGAAATATCTAGGGAAGCCCTAAATGACTATTTTTTCCTCCTTTTAAATTATTAAAGGACCTATTTTCACTTAATTCAACCTTAAAATTTTCTATTTTTTCTTGTTGGCCAATTTAAGCTAAAATTATAACTTTTTGTCCAATATTTTCATCAAATCTTGGAAATATATGATGAAGCAGTAAAAGATCATTTTTAATTTTTTGGGTCTTTAAATGTCTTATATTTAATTAATTTAATCCTTAAAAGATTAAATTCTTTTTTATTATTTTTGGCTAATTTGAAGTGAACCATGAATCAATTTGAGTTAAAAACCACTTAAATGATATCAGATATGATTTTATGAAATTTAAAAAAATAAATCTTTTGACCCTAAGCTACACTACTTTTTAATGGGGTTGACATTATTTTTAGGGTCATATTCAAATATAGTGTAAATGAGGTTTTTTAACCAAAAATACTAAAATTTTCATGAAATCTTGGAAATACCTAAGGAAGCTTAATGACCACTCTTTCTATTTCTGGGACCTATATTCAGTTAATTGAACCTTAAAAGATGAATTTTTTAAATTTTTATCATTTTTAGTTTATTTAAGCTAAAATTATAACTTTTTGACCAAAATTTTTATGAAACCTTGGAAGTATCTGATGAAGCCCTAAATGAAAAATATTTCTATTTTTGGACCTTTTAAAGTCTTATTTTCAGTTAATTTAGTCCTTAAAAGATTGATTTTTTATTTTTTTTTATTTTTGATTAATTTAAGGTGAATCTAAAATCAATTTGGTCAAAAATTACTTGAATATTATCAAAATAATTTGTGAAGTTTTAAAAAACTTAAAATTTTTGGACTTGAGTAACACTGTTTTTTAATAAGGGGATGCAAAAAATAGCGTAGCCTATTTAAGAGTAGTGCAATCGAAGTTATCTATCCAAAAACTTTTTGAACTAATTCAACCTTAAAAGCTGATTTTTTTTATTTTTTTGACTAATTTAAGCTGAAATTATAACTTTTTTGTCAAAATTTTATTGAAGCCTAAATCCAATGACAGAAGTACATAAATCTTGAAGGATAATTTATTTGGTAAAGTGGAAAAGTTTCTGATAGGGAACATTCGATGACAAGATATGGCAGGGGATCTGTGTTTTTTCCCTTCCAAATTCTACTAAGCCTCTTTGAACATTGTTATTATTCCTTGATAATTGCTAGTAATTGCCTTGCCATTCATGTTCATCGCCTACCAATGATGCCTCACCGTTTTTGTTTATAATCACTGTAAATACAATATTATGCTATACAAATAATCTGTCTCAAGCCAGCAAGTGATATTATGGTAACAATAGTGGCTACTGGTATCTTGGTTAAGTTTAAGGAGCCTGAATCATTTCATTCTTCTTATGGTTACCAAGGATCAACATTGAGTCATTGAACACGGGAAAATTTTTTGACTTCATTTGTTCGGTGCATCTCTTGTGGATGATGGATTGATTTGCCCTGAATCTATATTACAATGGTACATATATTCTCTACAAATATTTTTTTTAGGGTTCATTTTCTAAACGTATATTATAACCGTTCAGTGCATCATTTATGTTGTAGTGACTTGTACTAAATGGACTTGAGAAACCAAAAATGAAAGCTAGTGGTAGGTCACCTCAAGAAGGTATCTAGTTTATTTATTCCAGTGGAGTGTTCTTCTCAGGTGGTCCTGAGGGTGACTTAATTTGAATATTGATGGTTTTTTTTCTTCATCTAATCATTAGAATATCTTTCTTTACATATTCTGCCATTTCAATCACATGCATACAATATTATTTTATGTTCCTTACATTTCTTGGCTTATGTCACAGAATCATCATAATCTGATCTATTGAAGAGTCGAAGTTTGATCGAACATGGCTTGAATTGGCTCATGCCTCAACGATACGGCACAAATTATATCATGGACTGAGGTCATGCAAAAAAAATGTACCATGTAACTAGAAATTGCATAGGTTGTTTTCATAAATAAATTATTAGTAAATAAAAGCAATATGAGAGTAATTTGTCAAAGAAGAACATGATGCTTTAGTCAAAACTTGAAGGTTTGGCCTTTTATTATATGCAGAAGAAAAGCCTGTTAAATGGTTGGTAGCAATGTGATTGTTCAATAGCTTTTTGCAGAAGTGAGTATAACTCATCGTTTGCAGAAGTCAGTAGAACTCATCTTTTGCAGATGCTAATTTCTTGATCTCATCACATCATTTTACTCAGTAAAAAGATTAGTACTAGCTAGTGCTCCTCCGATTGTTTCTATCAGATAGGAAGCTGTAAGCAGTGAAAAACTCCACGAGTTTCTCTGTGGTCAGACTATGCAGGCCAGGAAATCATTATAGTTGAGTTACATGGTGGACTGAATTGAGAGATTTTGATTGAATAAATGATCCTTCCTTCGTTTTGGAAGCTTATAGTGTGTTTTTATACTAACCTTCCGAGGAAGAGTATCTCACGTAGATCTCGTGGAGGGGGTAGTTTGCAATCGAACTGAATTGCCCATTAATCTTCTTGGAATATGTTGATAATTGATGGTAATCGATATGAACTAACCCTTTATCTTTTTGAAATATTCCTATGAATATTCGGTAGGGGAGGTTGGTCCATAACTAATATCTGAACCATTCTTTAATCTTTTCGAAATATTCCTATGGATATTTCGTAGGGGAGGTTAATCCATAACTAATCTAAACTAACTTTTAGTCATCTTCGGAGGTGTCTTGACAACTCGGCAACTCGACAGCTTGGTAGCTCGGAGTTCGACGGCTCAGGCGGCTTTGAGATTGTCCCGAGTCCCTTTTTACATCTCAATCCTTTATGGATTAGAGAACATCGGTCATGATAGAGTACTAGTATAGTGAATGGTGGCCGGTTGGTCTTATATTCCCTATTAATAGTTTTGAAAAAACCTAGATTAGATTGATAAAATTAACTTTAAGTTATATTCAATCACAGATTCAATAAAAATAATTCCCCAAATAGACGATGGTATCATTTATACATTGAGTTTACTATGTAAAGGACGTGGTACCACCTATACCTCTCGTGGTATACAACCCAAGAGATGTCATACCACTCAAGCCCAAGTCGCACGGATCTATTGCGAGATTGTCCAAGGGCTAATACCTTATTTAAAAATTTTAATAATCCTAAATTCATTAAAAAAAAATTGATACTAAATATCTTATATTTATGTGATAGTATTTTTGAAGAAATTTCGATTAGTTTGATGAAAATTCAACACTTAGATTCGATCACAAATTCAATCCAAAACTATCTTATTTAAAAAATTAATCATCCTAAATTCATAAAAATAAAAAAAAACGATACTAAATATATTATAATTATGTTTTAGTAGTTTCAAAGAAGTTTAGATACGCTTAGTAAAATTTGAAAGAGTTATTCTTGAATTACACTGGTTTAGATATTCAATAAAAAAAATTATATTATATTCTATGAATCATTAAAAATAGAAAAAGTGATATTAAATATCTTAGAAACATATGTAAGTAGTTCAGGATAAGTGTAGATTGGTTCGGAAGAAATAACTCAAGTTACACTTGCATTACACTCAATAATAGATTCAATCTAAAAATATCTTATTTGAAAACTTAAATCATAAGAAAATAAAAAATGATACTAAATATCTTAATCATGTGCTAGTAGTTCCGGAGAAGTTTGGATATGTTTGATGAAATTTCAAAAAGTTACATTTAATCCCGATTCATTCAAAAATATCTTATTCTATTCTATTAATTACCATAAAATTATTAAAAAACGATACTAAATATATTAGAATCATGTGTTAATAGTTTTGAACAAGTTTAAGTGATATTACACTTAATCGCATATTCAATCCAAAAATATCATATTTAAAAATTAATCTCTTTATATAATTAAAAAAAGAGTAAAGTGATATTAAATAGCTTAAAATCATATCCTATTAGATTCAATTAAAAAATATCTTATCTAAAAAATTAAATACCCTAAATTTATTAAAAAATTTGACAAAGTGATACTAAACATCTTAGCATCTTATCCTAATAGAAGCTTATCCTAATAGAAGTTTTGATTGGTTTTGTGAAAATTAATTGAAGTTATACTTGATTACAGAATCAATGATATGCCCACGAAGCAGTGATACCACCCATACCTATAATAATATATTGCTTAGGGGTAGTGGCCTAGGTGATGGTACCGCCCAACTCTAACCTTTTTTTTTATATATAATAATCATCCTAATTTTTTTTTAAAAAAAAGAAAGTGTCCAACTAATCATCTTATAAACATGTGCTAATATTTTGCAAGTGTTTCGATAGGTTTAGTGGAATTTCAATATTATACTTAAATTACACTTGGGGTCAACTTACTCGTATATTCAACCAAAAAATACGTTGTTTCAAAAATTAATTATCTTAAATTAATTAATTTAGTAAACATCATAACCACATACATAACATTATTATGATGATAATAAGAATATACAACTCCAAGTACAAACATAAATATACATTACTATATATCATAAACCACATATATATACAAATTTTACACTTAAACATTTTGACTACTGATTTAGTTAAACAAAGTTGATAGATTAGTTAACTCATTTATTTCAACTTAAGTATTTTAACTAGTGGTTTAGGTTAAACAAAGTTGATAGACCAGTTAACTCATCAAACCTAAGTTATGACATTTTGTATCTAATATTTGAGCATGATAAGGGGGCTCAAGTAAGAAAAAGCTACCGTTGAAGGGAGTTAAAAGACTCGTTAGACGTGGAGCTAATAATATTTTTAATCAATTTTAAAATTCGATCAATAAATCAACATATATCTGAAACTTGATTGATCAAGTTAAAATTGCAAGCAAAGAGAATAAAATTAAATCACAAAGACATGTAAAGAGAGGCAAACAAATTTATAATAGTTCAATCTTTCTGATCTATATCCACTCTTGATTCCTCTTCTCTCAAAGTTACCGACTTTTACTATCGATCTTTTCTTTAATGAGTGAAAATTAACCACCCTTATTACAGCTTTTTCCATTTGAAGGCTAAAGAGATAACTTTTATACTCTCTTTTTACGTAAGAACTTTCATCTCTTATAATTTATAATTATAACCAAACTCAAAAGAATGATGTTGAATATCATATTTTGATGATAAAATCAATTGATAAATTTATTAATTAATATATTTTTGAGATCAATGATATAGGAAATACTTTGATATCACGGACCATCAAAGAGTAAATTATCGAAATAGGAGAATTAGATGTTATGTTGGAAAAAATATCATATAAAAAAGAATTAAACTTCATGCTATAAGTTCGAACATCGTACCAAAAGAATCAGATATTATGCCAAATGATCGAATATCATGAAAATTTTGATATGTCGATAAATCGGAGAAAAATTCAAGAGTGGACGTAAGCCAAAAAGAACGAACCATTATCGGGATGTTCCAACCAAACCAACCGATGATTTGATATGACTTGAAACAACTCAATTCAAGAATATTATCAAAATTTTAAATAAACAACCCCTATTAAAAGCCAATTATGCAAGCACTATCCCCTCTAAGCCAGTAGGAAGTTTTTTTTCGATAAAATGCACTTGAAATTAAGAGGGCATAGATGAAATCAGGAAGAATATTCCAGTGATGGGGTAACGGCTACGGTCATAAATTTAGCATTTCTGGTAATAGCGCTCCATAACAAATGCCCATATCAACAGTATCCTACATTCAGCATCACACAAATAACAGCTGAATGTAGCACAAGAAACATGTCAAAAATTATCCAACAAGAAAACTTGGTCTGTAAATTACGTTACAAAGATGCAAGGAGCGAGTGATATAAAATTATATCTGATCTGTTACAACTCTTGATTCACACGTCAAAATCGGTTAGTAACTCCAAATCTGACCCATTCCTTTGTTCGTCAATCAAAGTCCAATTCACAAGGTAAGTGCTTGTCAAACTGTAACCTCGTTTTGTCTAGCATTCAGTTCTTGCTTGTCATTTTGCTGATTGCCGAAAGTCCAGCCAGGAAATTCGGAGTTGTCAAATAGGGAGGATGGAATAACTTTGTAAAATGCAATCGGAACCTGCTTTATCCGCCGCCGGACCTGCAAGAAATTGTTTTGGTTTGTTTCAGCTGGACAATGTACAACAAAATGTTGTTATCAATCATCTCCATTAGTTTCACCGACCATCAAATTATCACGAATCAGAATAAAAGTATGTGTGATAACCCAATGGAAAATACATGTCTTTATATATATATATATATATATATATATATATATATATATAGAGAGAGAGAGAGAGAGAGAGAGAGAGAGTCAATATATCCTAAATCCAATGTCAACCTATTGGCAGCCTCACAATCTCTATCAATGAAAACCAAAACTCCTCATGAGATCCACCTAATCATAAAATCACCATAGAAGGCAGCATGTGAGATTGATTAATGGCCATGCATTGGTAAACATTTTATCACCAGGTCGACTGTTCACTACACAAATAGTCGAATGATGACCAATAAACAGCTCTACATGGCCCACATCTGATGTGGGATCATTAGAAGGCTAATAGTCTATATTCCAATTGTAAAAGCCACATATGAGAAATAAAAAGTACATAGTTTTGACTGGAAGCTGACCTCTTCTCTGAATACTGTGGCATAAGACCCAGAACTGAAATCTGCAACAGTTACTTCGGATGTTTTGGCTCTAACTGTGAGATCATTCTCAAGAGAAGCCACAAATCTGATAATGAAATTAATATCTCAAACTATGATGTGGAAAACATTGATGCAGCACAATAGAGAAAAAACTTCACTACCTGGAGACAGCTGGGGTGTAATGATGTCGGAGAGTTTCAATTTCCCATAAAGAACTTCCTGCAGCATCATAATAAAGGACCCATCAGGCACAGATTTGATTCAAACAGAATGCTTGTCCCTCAGTGGACACCGATGGATCCATGCTATGCTAATAAGTGATGGTTCAAAAAAAAGCCAAATCAAACCCTCCCAACAATAAATTGTTGAGGAATAAGAACCTATTTCCAAAAAAATAAACCTTTGAGGTGACACTTGTCTTCTTGCATCACCTAACTACTTATCTTCTGTCCCCCCTCTGCAGGAACAGAACAATAAGAAACTATCCCTTCTTCCCCTCTATAATTGAACATACAAGAAGCCTCAAGTTGCCTTCCACAATTTTTTATATTTAAAAAAGAATAAAAAATCTGATTCACAGAAGGATGGAAAGCATTCTTTTCAATCTACAAAAGATAAAGATTTGCCACAAATGGAAGGAGATAAATGACTTGCACAGTTTCTTAATAATATATCAAATTCATCAGCATTAATGTTAACAAGGTGATTGTAATCATCACCATAACCCACCATCTGTTACGAGCAACATCCTTAGCACTGTTATTTATTGGACCTTATCTCTATGTTTAGAAGAATATGATTTGGGCAAAATAAAAAAAAAGATAATAGCTATCAGATTTGCTAAAATAAGCAATACTTCTGGTGAACCTCGCTTTACATCCTTAAATAATTAGTCTATCCATTTTAAATGCTGCAAAAATAGTAATGTCACTATTCATTATGAAGAAACTTACGCATGGCATTCGACTTAGCAGGGTCACACTCTTGAATGTTAAATGGATCAGTGCCAAGCTTTGCGCTCAGATTGATGTTCCCATTGTCTGATTCCCTTGCATCCTCACCAGATCTATTATCTTCCACAGAAGTACCTCTGTCATTTTCATCACCAATTGGCTGCATGAGAGACCAAAGTACAATAAGAATCACAGCATTTGCACAACTTCAAAAATGAACTACAGTATTCATGATCTTATATTATGATTAGGATACGAAATTCAGACTCAAACATAAAGAAGTTGCAGTTAGACTAACTTAAAAATCCAGACTTGTGCAATCATTTATATTAATGTACAAGCAATTTGAGTAAAAAATGTCCATGCTGGAGGGAAGTCGTGAAGGGAGAACCTGATGAACTAAAAAATTAATTGCTGGATGCCTCCGCAATAAATTGTGAATTACAGCAATAATAATAAGCGCTCCAGATGGTGGTACTGCGAGAGCCAGTCTACTCAATTTCTTGGCAAATGTAGCAGCAAGATATGCTGGAAGATACGATGATTTTAAACAGGTATCCAGGAGCTACAAGACATAATATTTCCAATGTCAGCAAAAATATTCATCATGAGATGGTTTTTTCTTTCAGACCAACAATCTTTAGATCCTCAAGTTCAGTTCTAAAAGTCTAGCAGGAGCAACAAACCTTTTTTTATCAATAATAAAAATTATTTTATTATGTAGTTAAAATCCACAAGTGTACTTCTAGGAAATTCGTTACAAGACTGTTTAAAATATACAAAATTATTCTACGTATGTGGTTGCAAAAGCGCTCCATTAGAATGGTTCAGAATGTCTTCTGGCAGTTTGACTTTCCAGATTTAGGTGACATCATGAAATGATTAAGAAGTTAAATAATGTTAGTTTTTTAAGACAGTTCTTCCTAGATTCTCTTTTCTGTTCCTTCTTTTTGTCTTTCTTTCTTCTACTCTTCCTTCTCAATTGTACTTGTTTCATGCTCTTAGTGATATATGATTGCAGCATTGCTAATTTGGCAGAAGAAAAAAAAACATGGTAGGTTTATACAGGGATCACTGCCAAGAAAATAATTCGCAATGACAATGACAGAGACCACTGTTACGACTTGTGACTCCAATGAACTAAAACTAAGTATTTTGCTTCAACCATATGGATTTTTCCATCTTTCAGCAAGGGTTATTCCATTATGTGAGTTAAATAAAGGTCATTTAATTCATTATTTTTCCTGGTCCAAGCTTGGGAAACACAACATTACTTTTTAACATCTTTGGAAAAGAATGACATCAACCGTATTTCTCATTTAAGGTTACAGAATAATGTAGCAAATATTAACAAGGTTGCATAAAAGAATGATGGAGTTTAACATTTAAAACTACACCAACATGTGGAATGTTTTTAAAAGAAGGTAACTATTTGTTAATGGGCAAACATCTCATAGCTTAGTGAAGAACCCTAGCCTGATAAAAGGATTATTTTCCTAAAATTAACACGAAACAGTTATTATCACGTAACAGAAAATCAACATAGTAACTTTATGGATGTTACAAAACTTACTTGGAAAAACCCTGCTCGATGTTTTGCCATGAAAATCGCTGGGGTCAACAATGCATAAAGTTTTTCATAAAATTTGGGATACTCCAAACCATGTTGTGTCATGAGGATGAAAAGGCCATTAAGTGCCATTACACTAACTACACCTCCAATGTCATATGACCTAGTTAAAAAATCACTGAAAATCATTGCAAGATGATATGTCAGGCTTCCCAGGAGTCCGTAAGAGCATTAATATTCAACAAAAAGCTGAGTAATTTAGAAAGTCTTACCAAAGGATGGAAGGGTTTGCTAAATATGGAATAATGGTCTGATGGATTGAAGCAAGAACCTGAATAAGAAGAATGCATATTGGTGAGACAATCAGAAAATATTAGTTGCATAACATCTGAGTATAAAAATAATTATAAATTAAAGAAAACTGCACCAGATATTCAGAAGCAATTATTCGGATAATTAAAAACACAGAGCAAAATGAAACACCAATAAACCAATACTAAAACGTATTACAAGTCTAAGAACTAGCAGTCAAAAACCATGTGTGCTGCAAGTTGCAAAAGCAGAGTCAAAAAGAAAATTGGTGCAGAGAACTCAAGCCAGTGCAGGGTGTTGCAGCCTTAGCCCAGATGCAAAATTAAATAGATTGTCTCCTCAAGGATAAATTGATAATGTGTTAAGAAAAGGATATAAAAAAAATATTATGGATCCAAAATAATCAATTATTGTGCCAGTAATTTACAAATGCTTATGCCTACAAGATTTTCTAGGACATAGCCCCATAAAATTTGAAGTAACTCTATCTCCTGCAAAACTTAAATTTTTGTTTGTGCAGCATTGTTAGGCATGAATCAAAATTCTTCACAACTAATGGTATCTTAGGTATAAGAATAAAAGTTTTAAAGGAAACATCACAAACAAAGGGTCAGCTATGGTGTCTATGTGTGGGTTGGCATAAATTTCCTCTCTTGTTTAGATGTGTGCATGCTTTTTGGAGGTGGAGTTTTGTTTCTAGATTTTGCTACATAATCAAGAAAAAGACAAAGGTTAAGAATCTTCTCAACCATGTTGCATTTACCTATTATTTCAAATATTTATGTTATTTATTTTTCCCATTTTTTCATACCCTAAATTTATCACTAACAAGTTGGTAATCATTACCCTAAAACCGAGAATGCCCTTTGCCTGTATCACCTTCCACCACCTTCCAGTTCCCTATTTCCAGCTACCACTACTTTATGGTGGCAATTGCATTTGCCACCAACATAAGACAAAACTTCATACTACCACCATGATGACCACTGTGGTCACTGAAAGTATCTCACCAGCCACCACCATACATCAAAGCCACTACTAATAATCAAGTGTCTTCTTTCTCATAGCTGTAACATTGTTAAGAATTGTATTGCCAAAAAGACAATTCATGTTGATGCACTGCACCGCATAAGGCGCAAAATTATTTCTTATATGTCTTTCCTAAGAAAGTTGAAATAATCCCTGAAGAATGATGCTGCCTTTGCTCACTTAGAGAATGCAAAAGAAGCAAACTCATAAATTTTTTAAGTTGGAATTTCGTAAAGCCAGCCAGATATCAAGGAATGAGATCAAAGAAAAATCTAAAATCAACAGAGAAAAATGGAAAAAAATAGAACCTAGTAACCTTGTAACGATAATTACCTCCTTGTACACATCAACAGGAAGTGGTAATTTGAGAAAGGAAATCCAAGCTTTGGCAAACTTTAACTTGATCTTTTTGGTTATGTGGCTTGAAGATGAAACCTGCAGAAGTGGCAAAAAAGATGATGCCAAATTACTTCATACATGTAGGATGACTATTCTCTTCAAGCTGAAGCATATAATACAAGTACAATAGAAATTAACTCATTCATTCCTACATCTCACTATTTCATGTTTTAATTGGTTGGCAGATAATTATTAGCATTTAATATACATTATCATAAACTTATTAAGTTGCAAGAGAGATGTCTTAATTAGATGGGACAACAAAATTTTAATGACTACTGAAAAGATGTTTCCTACGCAACTCTCCCTCCATACTCGTATTGTCCTTGGTACCACCACAAGTACCAGCATATCACATCTCGAACAGGTAAAGCCAAGGCCAATGTGGATCAGCACCGTGTGTGAAAATGCAAATTATTTTCTGATTTAGCAAGTATTAGAACAAAGAGGGAACTTTGTATTTCATCAGCTTACAGAAAATCAATAGTCAAATATTACGAAAGCTTAATTTGTATGATCAATACTGAAGGTATTCCATATGCATGTAATCATCAGGATAGGTAGTAGCTTGAAGTAATTATAGATATCAGAAACTGCCATGAGTTAGGAGCAGCATGCTGGCCCAATGCTTGAAACAAGACTCAGCTGACATGACCAAAACACTGAAGGCAAAGTTTCTGAGCATCATGATACCTCAATGAGGTGGTGACAAGAAAAAGGCCACTAAATCAATGACCCTAGAGTGAACCATTCTGCATCTCCCAAGTGATATTAACAGGGGGTCATAATATCACAGAAAATGCTGATGAAGCAGTGATTGTGTCAGATCATGAGTCAACGACAATCTGGATGAAAATGGAAATATTCTAGAAGCCTAGACAAAATAAAGAGACAAAAAAGAACATACAGATATACAATAGTTTGCTAGTACTTTCATTCATATGATATCATGTATACACATGCACAGGCATATAATATGCATGTGTTGTGTTACACATTTTAGATCAACGTACTGAGATCTAAAAATGATCTACCCCTACTGAACTCACTGTTGTCAAGGGCATTAGGAGCCAAGGGTTTAAAATGCCCGAGGTGCTAGAGCGAGTCAGTTTCTGCTCTCATTCTATGTACTAGAGCGAGACAAGCTCCATGTAACCTATTCTTGAACACTTCTTATTAGACTGCTTCAGAGCTTACAGAACTGCACATGTATATAAATACATATAGATACATGTCCATGTATGTGTGTGTGTAAAGATGTGCTCCACATTTCAAGTGTGTACTTCATTCTAACTAAGAGATCTAGAAAAAAGTCAATCCCAACCAAGCCAGGTTCCCAAACTAGCAATGGTACATTCCTGATCAAAAATACTAGAGTGAACCATGCCCTTCATAACCTAATATTAATTGCTTTGGGAGCAGATTAGACTGCTTCAGAACTTCGAGAGAGGACTGCAATAAAGACAGCACAATACCGCTCTACAGAGCTTGATGATGCACTTGGATTTACAGTACATTACAGACAGAATGGGGCCACTATAATCAACAGAACAGCACATTGTGCTGCTGTTGTCATGTTTTAGAAAGAAAATGGCCAGAAAGAATTCTGTTGTCCAAAAGAAAATGTAAATATTACTGCTGACTTATTTCCCAAGTCAAAAAACGAAAGGTCATGGAAAGAGAGAACAAATAGGACAAAAAACACTGATTTGATGATTAATAGAAGATTTGTAATTTTCAAATTTGCAGAAGAATCATCATGAGTATTGAGATGGTGCATGTTTTGACAATTGGTGTACCTACAATAATATTTAAGCTAAATCTAATCATATTTAGAAAATTTTGGAATTTACTCTTAAACATGGTACTATGACAATGAAAGTTAAACGTACATATCAGAGCATAGCAATGCAAAAAATTAGTAATACATGCATCATGAAATGAACTGGCATTTTTACAAAAATATTACATGGAAGCATACTACCACAATTCTTTTCTACCAAACTCCTCTTTTTGTTCCTTTAATCACGCACAAACAATGCACACCCGTGTATACAATATGGCAAAGTAGGAAAATATATATACAAAAAACTTACATCAGTGTCAACTTTCCTCGAGTTTTCTGGTTCTGCATCTGAAACCGGATCATTAGAAGACAACTTCCCTACTTTGGATGAGATACCTACAGTAATGTTGTAATTAAGTAATGCCAATCCTTTTGCAGAAAGGTACTGAAGGATTTATGAGCAATCACTTGACCAGCACACATAGATGATAAGATAATGCTTTTAAAATGATAGAATTCCCCTAGAAGCTAAATAGTAAAACTTAGACTTCATAATAGAAGATATTTGCTGTTGGATAGTTAAAACACCACACCGACCCAAACCTACTGCCTACAGTTCTTTATTATTTACACTATTAAACAGGAAGGCAACCTTCTGCAGAAGATAATTTATTAATACATTTTCAGCTTATGCAATCATTGGCTTTCTTTGAAGTATGCAAATATGTGGATCATATAGCTCTTTTGAACTAGAACTTACACTGTGACGCTCTATATGCAAAGAATATTCAACATTCCAACATTTTTTTAGAAAATAACAAAATTTTATCATACCATGAATCAAAAAGACGCACCAGTAATTATAAAATGAAATCAAGTAGGTTTTCTTCTAGAACAAAAAACTGGTTTCAGAACAACATAGTCAAGCAGATCAACGAAAAGAAGAGAAATTATAAATTGATATCTATTATTCAACAATATTGATTTAAAAAGTAACAGATAAATGCATATTTGCACACAGAATATGCACATTGTCTATATATGAAAATTCAGTTTTCAATTAGTGCCAGAAAATACTAGCAGTTACCAATGCTCCTAAGAAACACCAAAGAAAAAAACCCTTTGACACAGACAAAAAAACCTGAGTTTTCAGCATAAAAAATATCTTCTACAGAAAGAAATAATTGCGAGTTTAGTGAAAAATTGCGAGGAAACATAACCATGATCACAAAATAACATGCGTTCTCATTGAAGAGAAATATCTCGTTTATCTTTTAATCAAGTCCGTGCCTACAAAGAAGGGAATGATTACAAAGAAAGTATATGTGATTACAAAAGGAGTATATGATTACAAAGAAAGTATATGACTACCCAATGGACTCCACATTTTATAACTTTTTCTTTCTCAGCTTCTAAAGGAAGGCAACAGGACAAAATAATGTGTTCTCATTGAAGAAGAGAAATATCTACTTTATCTTTTAATCAAGTCCGTGCCTACAAAGAAGTGTATGATTACAAAGAAAGTATATGTGATTACAAAAGCAGTATATGATTACAAAGAAAGTATATGATTACCCAATTGACTCCACATTTCATAACTTTGTTCTTTCTCAGCTTCTGAAGGAGGGCAACGGGACAAAATATTGTACATTATGCGAACAGGAAACTCCATACTACTGCAAAGTAGCAAGAGCAAAATAAGGATATCATGAACTGAGACAATTTCTGAAAATGCCATTGATCAGAAAATAAGAGTAAGATGAAAGGTAGAAAAACAAATCTCCAGATGTGAAGTAATATAAAACTGTGATTCGATAAAGAAGACAGTTAAGATTTTGCAAAGTTGTGATTCACATGCCTCAAAAATATAAACTTCACGTAAATGCTTCATTGGAAAAATTATTATGGAATGGGATACAGGAACAATATCATTTCATAATTTAATTTGACAGCCAATAATTCAATAACATGATAAAAAGAAAATACCAACAAACCATACTTTGATTGTGCAATCTTCAGAAATCTACGAATGTTAAGATTGAACAAAGTTATCCATCATAAAATTCATTCAAGGGGATATATCCATACAGCCAGCATGTAAAATGGGAGCTGGAACACTATTTAGTATTTTTAAAATCAAGGTCTTCAATTTCGAATAATACCGTCTGTACCGGACAGTATATATATATATATATATATATATATATATATATAT